CTCTCTCTCCCTGAATAAACCAGACATTCTTAGTTGCTTTCATTCAGATGTGAGAAGTTAATTTACAGTTGTGTGTACCATAGTGGACTCCAATGAACCCTTTCACTCCCAAGATTTCAATAGTAATTCTCCGTACTGTCTGCTAGGCAATTCTTATTATTTTAGTTCAGAGAATTGAGTACTGAATCAACTAATCCCTTAATTGATGTTTTTTTTTCTCATCACTTGTCAGCTTAATATTGTATTGATATTGTAAGGAGAAATTCTGTCTTGGTCATACTCATGGGAATTAAAGGGTTGATACAGACACTAAGGGTACGTGCTCTAGAGTCTGTATTACTGGGGTGTCTATGTCAAGCTAGGTGTCCATGGCTGCTAGTTTGTTACACTCCATAAAATGATACCATTGTATTTTGTGTTTAGTCTGGCCGTCTCTTTCTCCGCAACTTGGCCTTTAGTTGTTCAGAGGAAGACTTGCAAAACCAGTTTGACAAGTTTGGTCCTCTAACAGAGACATATCTACCCCTGGACAAGACTACAAATAAACCCATAGGAATTGGGTTTGTCACATTTGTTATGCCAGAGCATGCTGTGAAGGCTTTCAATGAACTTGATGGCAAAGTATTTCAAGGAAGACTGCTCCACATATTACCATCCAAGGCCAAGGAAACTAAAGAAGACGAAAAAACAGGTTTGTTGTTTAGCAAGTGAGATAAACTTGGTAGCAAATAATTGCACCACGTCTCTGCAAACTGCTCTGTATGTACTGCTCCAAAGTCAAGGTGCTGCAGCTCATGTTGCAATCATACACACAGAGGCACTTCCTTTTCACAGGTGCTTTGGGTGTGGGGGTGTCTGACTAATAATTTATATTACAGTGTTGGCAAGGGTACCTTATAAGGAATAGTTTTGTGGAATATCTTCACAGATGCAGCAACATCCTTCAAGTCGAAGCGTGATGCAAAAAAGAAAACTCTTAGTGGTCATGACCACAATTGGAACACATTATTTTTGGGAATGAATGCTGTTGCTGATGCGATGGCTGATCAATATCACACCACTAAGGGTAGCATTCTAGATGATGCTTCTTCCAGAAGTCTGGCTGTACGCATGGCTCTTGGGGAGACACAAGTTGTTACAGAAACAAGGAAGTTTCTCATGTCTCAAGGTGTCAAGCTTGATGTTTTTGGACAGGTGTGTGGTTAGCATTTGAATTTTTGTTACTTGTACTCTCTTTTATTCACAAATTTTGTCTGAAAATGTTGCACATGAAAATATTTCTCTTATTTTTTTCTAACAAAGTGACTGGTTGCATCTAGATACTTGAGATAGAAGAGTTATAGAGAATTTTTTTTACAAGTTAAAATGGTTGACAATGGATCATAACAGTACCTTGAGAAAATTGTGGGGTTTAACCCTTAAACTCCCAAGATCTCATCAGTAATTCTCCTTACTATCTGCCATACAGTTCTTGTGATGTCAGTCTGGAGAATTTGGTATTGGATCAACTTATAATCCCCTAATTGATATTTCTGAGAAATTCTGTCTTGGTCATTCACTGGAATCAAAGGGTTAATTTATTGGTAGTGGGAAAGTGTAAAGGGTATCAATGATTTTAAATTTCCTCATACAAAAGAAACTAGACTGAGGCTCTAGATTAAAAACCTATGTTTAAACATTTTAGACAAGTTTGCTTTTATTCTATAAAGACTCCATTTGTAAAAGATTATACTGTAAGGATAAAGTACAGATAATCTTGTTTGTTTCTTGTGTTAAATATAGCCTGCGGCAAAAAGAAGTAAGACTGTCTTGTTGGTGAAAAATCTCCCTTTCAACACATCAAGTGAAGAGCTGATGAACATTTTTTCACCGTTTGGAAAAGTGGCAAGGCTTGTGTTGCCACCATCAGGAATCACAGCTCTTGTAGAGTTCTTTGAGCCAAGCCTAGCAAAGAAGGCCTTTCAAAAGTTGGCATATAGTAAAGTAAGTTCATAACTAAAGCCTTTGATTGTTATTGCTTTATTGAAGAGCTCTTTTTTGTTTTACATCATTGTGAGACAGTGAGGGATGTAGCCTGCATAATCAGGCATGATATTGGGGAGCAAGTGCTCAAGGCTTTCTTGGTGAAAATTATAGCTGCCATCATTTGATTTATTGAGCAGTGGGAGGCTAGGGTGAGGAAGAAATTTGTACCAAGGGGGTGAGTGAGGGTCAAAAGGAAAGAGAGGGGAGGGGCTAGGGGTCTATTTCTCATGGGATTCCAGGTCAAAAAGGTGGAAGTGTAAAGCACCGATGAGAGTCATTGTGTTGTGTTCGTGGACAAGACACTTAAATGTCACAGTGCACATCCCCTCTCAGGAGTGTAGATGGGTACCAGCAAATGAATGGGGAAAGAGACAAATTGTTACATTAGGGGGGATCTATTGCAGACCAGCATTCCTTTCAAGGGGAGTAGCAATATTCTTAGTCGTATCCTGCTTCAGAAACAGGGACATATGCCATTTGTCCTCTGTTAAGACTTTTTTTTCAGTAGATGGCTGTGTTTTAATGACATTTTTTTTCTCTTAATAGTTTAAACATGTTCCATTGTACTTGGAGTGGGCTCCTTTGGGTGTTTTCTCGGAAAAACCTGAAGAAAAGAAAGAAGAGGAGATAAAAACGGAGAAAAAAATGAGTATTGACGAGGTGATATTCATAGCTAAGCTTTTGAGTTTCTTTTCTACCTATAAAATACACCATAGCTCAGAGATTTTAAAGACTAGTGGAAAATAACTCGACGACTTCTGTTTGTTTATTCAGCAGGGAAAAGAAGCAGCAGAGGATAAAGGAACAGATGTTGACGGCGAGGATGTTGATGATTCAGAAAATACGGAAGGCACAACTGTTTTTGTAAAAAACTTGAATTTTGAAACATCAGAAGAAACGCTGAAAGAGGTAAGGTTACTCTCAGTTCGATCAAACAACAACACATATTATCTTTTGTCTTAAGTTATAAAACTTAAAACAGTTATGACTACACAACTTTAATCGTGATGCTTTTGTGTTAGGCATTTTCCAAGATCGGCCCACTTCTTACGGCAACAATCGCCAAGAAAAAGGATCCTAAAAAGCCTGGTCTGTTTATTGCACATTTGTCTTCATTTAGAATAAATAAGATCATCCATTGACATGATTCCATTCGTTGTGGATTTCCTCAAACAGAGGGTAAAATAATTACTTTATATACTTTTTAGTTCCCCAAGATCATGGAAACAAGGAATGAATCTAACTCACTCGGGTGTGATAATTGTGATAACCTTATTGGTCTAGACCAATCTGTATTTTGGTAGCTTTCTTGGTTGGAGCGAGGCTCTGTGGGTGTAACTAGATGTCGTACCCGGGAACACAACACAACGCCTCGGCCAGGGCTTGAGCCCAGACCTCTCGATTCAGAATCCAGCCTGCCGACCATTAAGCCCTTATGTCTCCCACAAGAACAAATCTCAATTGAGTGTCGAAAGTCCCCTGAAACTACTTTGATTTTGCTTTTCTTTCCATACTGATTGGTTCAGGAAACTCGCCACACTTTTTCAACCAATCAGATTCAAAACTAAACCCAATTGCGTCTTGATTAACCCCGTTTTCCTGTGCTTCACTGAAACAGATTTTTTGTTTTTACTTTGAGTTTTCTTATTGGCTCCATATGTTATGTCTCTCAATTCTGATTGGCCTTTATATTTTATGTCCCTCAATTCGGATTGGCTCCATATGTTATGCCCTCAATACTAATTGGCCGTTCTTTTACTTGAACTTATAGTTTCTCCTCGCTTGCCTTCCCATGATCCCCGTCTGCTTACGTACTCACTTGTCTCTTTATTTGCAGGAAATTTGCTTTCCATGGGTTACGGATTTGTAGAATACAAGAAAAGATCGGACGCTTTACGTGCAATCACAGAACTCCAGGTTTGTTAGATTTATCGTGGAGTGTCTGAGAAAGGTATTACAAATGATGAAATGAGGCGGCTGGCTTCGCATGCCGGGAGTTGAATCGGCAAGAAGCACGGCCAAGAAACTCTCTGACCAGAAGAATTTAACCCAAGTACCTCTTATTTTCTAGGAGATAGTATTTCTTGAATCGTAATTGACACTAGTCTGAAACAACTCATTGTTTCATTTATTACATTTCCTGGTTTATCTTTGTTAATCGGAAACCTTTGGATGAATTTTTTAAAAACATTTTGTGGTGAAGTTTTCTGTGAAATAGGAGAGTAATTGTGGAAGGTTTTGTTTTAAGTTGAGCTGGAAAATTTGATTGTAACAATATTGTTTTCGTTTTTGTCAGAAATCTCTCCTGGAAGGGCATACTTTGGAGCTCAAAATGTCACACAGAAAACCAAGGTAGGTGAACTCCCATGAATGGCCAGAAAGCAATGACTCCTTAAAAAGTTGATTACATTGTGAAGAAGAAAGGTGACGAGATCAGGAAAGACTGTCGAATAAGGGATTTTTCCTGATTTAGACGCAAATTCACAGGCCTGAAGTTCTAAGGAATGAATGGCAGATAGAGTAGAGATTTTGGGTGTTAAAAGTTGTCCACGAGTGGTTATCGATCTAGAGTCGTCAAACCTAACTTAGAGCAATTGCATCGGATAGACGCAACAAATGTTAACAGCCGAACGATTCAATGAGAAGCTTAAGCAAATTCACGTGACTGGCCTGAAGCCCCCTGAAAAACGGCTCTGACCGAGTCACGTGTAGCTCGGGCTGATTGGTTGTATTTGTGGCACGATTATTTTGAACGAATCTTAGCGCGAATGTCAAAACCAATGGAAGGCGAATATGAATTGCCAGAGACGATATTGAAATACAATTTGATGTAACACAGAGCAAAAGTATCTCAACACAAAAGTTCGATGGTCATGCCTCAACTTCCATTCGTCTGTATATTGGTATTACCATTATTTATTTTATTTTTTTTTTTTTTCAGTGAGAAGGTAGCACAGCGTAAATCTGCTTCGACCAAGAAACAAACCAGTTCGAAAATTCTGGTGCGAAATGTTCCTTTTGAAGCGTCAAAGAAAGAAATCAAAGAACTTTTTGGGTACGTATAATGGTTTTTCTGGGTGATTAGTCGGTTACTCTGCTGAACTCTAAACTATCGACAAGGTCAGGGTTCTTGCCAGCTCATCATGTTGTGGTGTTGGGTAAGGCACTGTACTCTCACAGCGACTCTCTCCACCTTGGAGAAGAAATGGACACTGGAGAACTGTCAGCGAAGCCTGACAAAATGTGAAGGGAGGGGAGGGGAGGGGGGTAAACCGGTGATCATTTGAGACCGGCGATCCTTTGAGACTCCTATGCCCCCCTATGCCTTCCTATGCTTCTGTGCTGTGTTTTAGCTTCGGTTTTACATGGAAGCAATAAAGCACTTTTCTCTCGGCACCTCGGCACTCGTGTCATGAGTTAATTAGTCCAGAGTTAAATAATCCAAGTGTTTATTAGGAGATTCGTTAAACAATTAAGCTCCGGGACATTCTTTTCTGAGCTGTGTATTTTGTTTTTATGATAGCACTTTTGGGGAGATAAAAACGTTGAGGCTTCCTCAGAAGCAAGCTGGAACTGGTTCTCACAGAGGATTTGCTTTTGTTGATTTTCTCACCAAACAAGATGCTAAAGTAAGTACTTGTTACGTTACCCAGTACAGAAAGTAGATATTCGCCTGTCAGTCTGTTCTTGAAGTATCTGTGGGTTTGTGCGTGTTATCCGAGGAGCACAACAAACCCCTTTGTGGTGAAAACGAGCATGATCAAGTTGATGTGTTAGCAGTGATTTCAATTTCCTGTCTGCAAACCTGATCCTGACTCAGAGATCAGTAACACGCTCTAAGAAAGACTGCAATGTTACCTTGCAGTCCTTTTTATTGTTCACAGTCGTTTGCTTTATCGAGTATGTCTCGATCGAGGGATGCTTGAAGCTTTTAGAACATGATACAAATGTCAGTATTAAAGAATCACGAAATGAAAATGAAACTGTCCGAAGCTTGAATTCGTGATCGCCTCTTCCTGAGCTTAAAGTTCGGGTTAAACGGTTTCTGAAACACAAGTACGTTTTCTCCTCTCGTCTGATGGAGAGCATTAAGCAGAGATGGATCTGTTTTGTAGCGCGCGTTTGAGTCCCTTTGTAGCAGTACCCATTTGTATGGGCGAAGACTGGTACTGGAATGGGCCGAGGACGAAGACAGTGTGGATGCTTTGCGAAAGAGAACCGCTGAACACTTTCATGGCAGTATCCTTTGTAAATAAAGTTGGTATTCTTCAATCATTGTTCTTTTTTTTTCAGCTGATTTGGATTTGTAGAGCTATACATTCAAGTGAAACAGTAATATCCAACTCGATTAAGAGGAATGCATTTGTTTAGCAGCGGTTTCTAGTAAAACTATCTTGTCAGAGGGTGTTCTTTGTTTTTGTTCTTTGCTGTTCTTGTATTTCTTCCCTTAACTTTGTCTTCAGCTCCAAAAACCGCTAAGAAAAAGAAAGATATTCTGGACGATCTTCTAGACTCAGAAATGCACGAATGACTGAGCAGTATTCTGTAGCAGGCAGTCGTTACTCTACGGTTTGCTGTTGTTATCCGCCGTAATTACCAAGTTACGATCGAACGAGGGAGTAAACATACATTTTGAGCGAGGGCCTTTCTCTAGGAACGCATATTCATATCTCGCAGACAGTAACTCGCCATGAATTTGCATTTGTACCGTCGACATCCGTGGCTTTAATGAAGAATCCGCTTTTATTCTCGTCAGCTTAATACTGGAAGAGGACAAGACTTGAAAGTCACTGCAATCACCTCTCTGTGATTTGGTGAGGATAAGCATTAAAAATTCTCGACAGCTATTGAGTGAAATAATTGAAAATTGGTTTTAAGAATTTACTTATCTCTACGAGAACTTGGTGGAAGTCGATGTGATCCTTTCCGCGGAAAGAAAAATTAACGGAAGGTAAATATAATGGCTGTTAATGAGACAATTGATAATTACTTCTTTCTCCTGACACCTATTTTGTGCTAGTTTGTCAGAAATAAAGCTAAAGACTAGTTAGTTGCAAGGTTAATGTGTTAAAAATGATAAAAACGGACAAATATTAAAACCAAAATGTTTGGGTTGGACAAAGAGTAGTCTGAATTGAGTTATAACACCTATGAAGGCGTCACCTCGCTGATTGAACTTACTATGCTGGTCGTGGAACCTTTCCAACTTTGACGCAATTGCTGGCATTCTCCCTCCTGAAATAGGAGGGATTCATCTGCCATTTGCAATTCGCCGAGCCTGTTTCTAGTGATCCACCCCTATAGTTATAAGGGTATCCATCTAGGATAGGCAGTGACCTTTGTCTCAGACCTTCCCAGGGGCGTGAGCAGGAATTGAATTTCCTCGGTAGTAGCCCCTTTAGCGAGCATTTCACCCAACCCACTCTGTTAAAATACTAATTAATTAATTTATATGAACACAATTCCTTCTTGGCCTAGTTGTGGGACGCCTCTTTTACTCAACCGTTGGCACCTTGAGTCGAAGCTTATTATACTCCTACTTGCTCTCTGCAAGCGTCTTCAAGACATCCCATTTTAGAGATTCGTTACCAAGGGCCAAATTAACTTAAAGAGTATTTTGCGCATGCGCAATGAATGGAAACCTCATAAATGAATTGATTAGAGTAGAATTTGTGTAATACTAACGCGTTCCTGTTTCATCCAGTTCCAATTTTTTGCAGCATTTTTCATCAAAAGTCACGTTCGTACTCTTTCTTTTGTAAAAAAGTAAACATTTGTCAATGATGACCGACAGTATGTAAAATTTTCTCGTCAAATTAATGTACAAACCGTTTAGCAATATTGACCTAACAACAGCGGTGTTTTATCAGCTGGGAATTGGCGACACAACAAATCGAACGGAATCGTGTCGGAAGTGTTTTCTAGAATCAACAGTTTTGACCATGAAAACGGATTTCTTGGCTGGAAAAAAAAATCCCAGAAACCTTGACCTTCTTAGATAAGATCACTGATGTTTAGTATTTATTGATTGTTTTATGAAAAGGGGAAAAAAAGCCAATTTTTAAAACGTAGAAGTTTTGAGAGAAATTATTTCCTTGCAATAAAATGGTTGAATTTTTACCCAATATTTGATAATTTCATGAAACTTCTAAATAACGTCCTCCTTTTATTAATTGTTCGAGAAGCATTTTCCTCTGACGATAAAGAAATACAATTTTCCCTTGGTTGAAAACAGTTGCAGTTGTTTCTCTCAATTAAAGGAATCACTGGAAAAGAAATTACCCAGAAGCTATTCTGTGCGAATACGCAAACTTCTTTGAAAATAAACATTTACAATTTTTTTTGCTTTGTCGAATGTTTGAAAGTTTGTAAATGGATTTTAAGCTTTTCAATATACAAATATGTTTTTTTTATTTTTGAAATAAAATGATTGGAAGTTCAGCCGTCTCAAATTGAACGATTTTGTTTTCGACTTTTTCTTGACAATCTTTTTTCTTCGTCGACGTTTTACAAGGACAAAAGGCTTTGATGAGGCTAGAGACGTACAGTCAGTTTTGGCAATCGAAAATTCTGGAGAATCATTGTTTTTATTGCAGATAAAGGTTGTAGGAGGATCTCTAAAGTCCTGGGGCTTTTAAAGTTTGTTATCAAATCACCTAGGGTCTTGGATAACAATGTCGAGAAATCCAAGCAACAAGGCTGACATCTTGTTCCGTTAAACCGCCAATTCGACAGCTCAGTTTTCTTTCGACTAAGGCAAAAGCTATTTTTTTTTTAACGGGTATTTAATCGTGTTCTCTGGGACGAACCAAAAAGAGAGTTAAAAATGTTATCTCTATTTGGGATTTGTTGAAAAATAGCAACAACTGTCCTTAGCTTTAAGAGATAATCTTCAAATAAGATAAATCTAAGAAGCGACATCAGCTGCTAATGGTATATTACCATCAGTGGGGCAATTCAGTACAAAACAGAAAGGCTATTCCCCCTTTTCTTTTCTACTTTTTAGCTGTTCTCAAGGTGTAAAAATTTGCCATTCTCTCATGAGAAATAAATGAGAACAGCGTTGTTAAGAACGAGCAAGAGTTGCATGTGAAAAAAACGTTCCTGCAAACTTGTCTCTTTGCATAAGCTGCTGTTCGAGTCTTAGTCATAAAGCTCATTTGGTTGTATTGCAGCAAAACTACTTGCGACTGTATTAGGTGTTTACGATCAAACTTAACCTCTTAAAGGTCGGAAAACACAATAAACCTTTCCCTATTGTTTCATCGCTTTTTTTAGCGTTAGAATATTCTTAAATGAACTTGAAGACACAAACAATATCCGATTTGTCTCGACATCAAATGATTTCTTTACATTATTTTTAAAACCGGGCAACTCTCTGAGGTGTAAAAACACTGGAGTTTTGTTTGTCTTCCTTGTTAAATCCCTCTAGTAACGGTTCAAGGTATTATTTATGACAAGACAATACCTATTGAACGTTTAACAGCTTAACTAAAAGCTATTGCGGCGTTTTTGTGATGTCGACAAAACACAACGAAAACTGAAAAGGCGTGTTTGTAGTCAAAGCATGTTGCCAAGGGTAACCTCCCTTTGTTAAACCTCAAGTTGATTTTATATTAACAAAACCAACAATTGTTCTTTTTAATTCCTTTAGCTGTCTTTGTTCCTGGCGGCAATATTTTACAATAATATTGTCTGAGGAAAATGTTCTCAAAATAGCTCAGAACGCTCAATGTTATTCCGTTGGCTGAAATCAAAAGTTAGTACATTTTAACGTAGATTTAAAAATAATTTATACTTGAGCTGTACCGTTTGGTTCCTCGATACCAAGTTATAGAGAAAGCTTTTGCTACAGGTTATTTTTGTAGATGCGTGGGTTTGTCAAAATGATTTGAGAGCTTTTATGACTGCCTCCAGATTCTTTTATCTCAGCTTTCACTCAGTTAGACACCTGTAAGTGAATAGATTGAATGATATAACAACTTCACTTTTATGTATTTCTGTTTTTGCGATGAAAAGTGAACTAAAGATTTCCAGTTGCATAGTTTCGTGGTTTATTATTGTCCAAAACAGAAGACGCATTTGTTTAAGTAAGGTTAAGAATAGTTGACGGCTAGTGAGGAACATGAAAACTGGCTTCGCCTGCGGGAAAGATATACTGAACATTTTTTGCCAGACGCAATACTATGTCAGAGCTCTTCCAATTTTGTGCGGGATATGCATGATTTTGCTTAAAAGAATATGCCTAGGTCGAAGATCTTTTGAACTCTAGTTTCATTTACGATCAATTTATCCTATACAATTTCTTTTCCTGTCAATATCACTTTGTAGATAAAATGTAAAACATTGTTAGAGGTCAGGATGAAATTTCAGAGCTGGAGGTATTTTGCTAGGTAATTCATACCGTAATTTAGTCTCGGGCAAAATCTGCTGGGCTTGACATTTGCTTGTAATTTTTGAATCAGCTCTTTTGAAACCGTAAAACTTGGAGCAGAAATAGGGTTTTAAATAGATTATAATTCCCAGCGTTCGGACTTTTTTGCCGAGCCTAAAACGAAGAAAGCTTGAAATTACATCGTTAAGGGTTTTTTTTAGTGAGGGTGATGTCGCTTAAAACTTTTAAGCATAAAAGGAAGTATTAATAACGTCCCTTGAGAGCTTTTTATTAGAGAACACTTAAACTTATTCGAGACAACCAAACAAACCGCCTCGCTTTAAGAACTTTTTAATATTTACCCTGTTCTTTTGCAATTAAAGGGAGAAAGAGTGTTTACCCGAGCTGTAATTGCCCGTCAACAGTAAAAATGAGTTTTAACGCCAACGGAAATTTCATAAATGATTCAGTAAATTCAATATTCGCTAAGAGAGCCGCGCTCGCCTATAACCTTGAGTAATTTGAATTTGCAAGGTGTTCCTTTTACTTAGCTTACAAGTGCACTTTGCCTCTCGATTGAACATTAGTGGGTTTTTGTTGTTAAAATGTGGTCGATGTGACTCAAATGAGACAAAAACCGGATGTCCACGTAGAAGGTCAAATCTTGCTTCAGGCACTCCTTGTTATTTATTTGCACGCGATTAAAACGAGAGAAAATAGGAAAAGGCAAAAGCCTGTTGAATTAATTTTGTCATTGGCGAGACAAATTTTCCCAATATTTTCACCTGTCTTCAAACACGGACTAAAACATTTCTGACGGTATAGATTTAATTGAAGTTAAGTGCATGCTCTCTCACGTACAGCGAGAACTGTCCATTTGCAAAGTAAATGCTATTTATACTCGTAAGAATGGAAGATTCTGCTTGGGGGCAAGCTAAATATGTACATAAATTCGTCGATGCGTTTTTGAAAAATTACAATCAATTAGAACAGAATTATTAAATTTCCTGTTCATTCACGTAGTTAAACCCACACCTTTCAAATGGTTTTACCTTTTAGAGCTAATTTTTTTTTGAGGAATTTTGTACAAGGGAGTGTGCGAAAACCTCGCTCGACGAGCGCGTTGTTTTTTCGTTGGTGCTTTGATTGAGGCGGGACTTAGTCGTCAGCGAACAAAAGCTGGCTACTACATGGCTGTGCTACGGAAATGTAGTCATCTACCCCCCGCTGATTGTGCTCAACTCAAGTGTTCTGGTTTAAAAAGCCTCGCTTGACACTCGTACATAAAACATGAGCTAACTTTGCCTTTTAAAAGATCGACCGGAGAGTGTTTTGCAAAACATTGGGTGGTCTTTTAGAAAGTTCCATGTGTTTGGCCTTTTCTGACGCCCGCCCGCCAGGGTCTTTTTAAAAGGAGTTCCGTCTTGAAGGCTTGTTTTGGCGTTCTTGTTTTGCAATCACTCGTGCAGGAAAATTCACGAATTTTTATCCGTACGAACTTACGTACCGCATTCCTGTGACTCCTAAGGTGCCCTTGATGAAAGCTTTCAAGAGGACTCCGTAATAATGATTCTGTAATAAAAACACGAAAAGACGAACTAAACAATGGGAATTTTAACATTGCTAAGTTTTTATCAGTGCGCGAAAAAGAGATGCTGAGTTCGTGACTAGCGCCTCATCGCATCTGCGCGAATTCTTTTAAACGTTGCAGGCGATACAATGAAAATTTCGTTGCTTCTCGAGCGAGT